AATTCACGTTTTCTTCTCGTAGAAAATGGCCTTGGATAGGGATTTTTTTTAAAACGTTCAAATGGTTTGTCCCAGATCTTCGAATGGCCTGTGTAATATCAGTCACCCATCGGTTTGAAACAACTCAATAAATTCACGTTATCTTCTCGTAGAAAATGGTCCTGGATAGAGATTTTTTCAAAATGTTCAAATGTTTGGTCGCAGATTTTGAAATGGCTTGGGGAAGAAAGAAGTTTGCTCACGTTTTGCTGTAAATTCATATCATCTTTTTCCGTTCTTAGGAAGGCGTAGGGAATAGAAATAAAACATTCTCTATCTACCCTTGTATTCATGAAAGACGTCCCAATTAAAATATGTAATAAAATATCCCCGTTAGATGACAAATTCGCGAAATAATACAAGCCTGCCAACAAGTGTTCAAGTAGATTTTGAACCGCAGTTGACTCAGCTCGTATTTATTACCGAATCTTTAGGTGCAACTTAAGCGTATACATGGGGTAGTAAAGATTGTAAATTCACAAATGTATCGTCGAAATTCTGCACGAAACAGCTGTGTCTACACCGATTTCTTTAACTCCCCTCGCTTCAGTTTTGTCCTAAAGTACACTTTTCAGAAAAGTTTATTTTTTTCACTGAGTTTTATTGCATCGGTAGTGTTCACGATCGCTTCGACCATTTCTTCTTGCCGATCATAACTTGCGATTTCGATACAACGGCTATCTGTGCAATCCAACAGGAACCCTGATGAACGTTATTTATGTTTATTCATTCCCAGCAAACATATATTTTGAAATTTGATGGTTCGCATTGCTGATTGGATGAACCGGATGGCTTTTCAAGTAAAAAGTTATTATTTTCTTCTTATAATGGTTAAGTTCAGTTTAATAAGTAGATTTTTCTTCACCATGGTTTTAATTAGTTATAGTAAATATCAGTGCCTTTTTAGTTTGTGTATTAAACACAGTTGAGGGAGGACGTGTTACCAATACTTCGTGTTTTCACTTAACAGTTTAAATACACTTAACAACTGTGTATTCTCCGGCTTTTCATAAATTGAAATCAAAAAGGTCTGTTAATTTAGCTATATCAGAGTTTTTAAAATGGTCAATAAGGTCAAATGCTCTGGACAAACACATTTGCAACAATCGTCCCTTTAATAGAGTCTGCTATAAAATGATGTGTTGTCGATATATATTACGATACAGGGAAAGGTCCCGAAATTTGAGGATGGGAAACCTGAACGAGTCAATATTATTATGATGAGAATGCATCTCTGAACCAGAGATTAATGATCATAAATATATACATCTCTCTCCCATTTCCAGGCATTTATCTTAATAAAGTGTTATTTGGATGAGCTTAAAAAATTAACAATCTGGATCTGTAATTATAAGTAGGGTCATCTTTTTCTTAACTTCCTTGCTTTGAGTGAATTCACTCGTTTTGTACAAATATCAAACATTTTTTTAATTGCGCTCTTGAGTTATTTTGAGTGATGATTAACTTTTTGTTTGTCACCACTTTAAAAGTAAAAGCTCTCGTGTTATTGCCATTCCAAAAACTGATCCAAACAATCTATCACAACTATATTAGAGTAATCAGAGGTAATGTAAACAGATCATTAAAAAGCTACTTCGCTATCATCCCTCCTTTTGTTTTGAAATTCCGCGAAGAGACGCCAGTTTATTCAGCTGTATCTGGAACTTATACAAAAATATAACAAAATGAAATCCTTGTCCCTTGAAAAGATGTTTAGGCGTGTATTTACGAAATGAACAATTGCGACATCACTATGGTGTTTACATAGCTCTTGCCAGAAGGGCACTTGATGTGTAATGTAGTGAAAATTTTACAACTCAGAACATATTCCAGCCTGTACATCAAAATATGCTACGTCCCTCTTTTGCAGTTGGGTTTCCAGTGTAATAAGGAAAATTTTATTCATTGAAATTTTGATTCTGATTTGAATGTATTTTAATCGTGACATTATTGTCTTTCGTTTGAAGAGTTAAGAGATCTGTCAAGAAATAGCCCTTCTGTCAAGTGGTTGTAATGACAAACAAAGGGGCAAGAAGTAAAACACTTTTTTCGAAGTACACAATGCAAAGATGGTGCATTAAGGCAAATGGCTTGTTGCTTTTATATCTGGCTACGAGTCAGTTTTATTTTGCCAGCCTGCTGTAAAATAAATTTGAGCGTGACATGTAAGATAAACACATTTTATCTTTTAGATGGCCCTTTAAACCATCAAAAGTGTTTCTGTTGTAAACAAGATGAAGCAAGCGTTGCAAGGTTGATATTTCAAAATTAGTATTGGTACAAATATCATACTCTCGCAGAGGACTTTTCGCTTAGTGATGTTTGTTGTCCGTTAGACAAAAATTATATGCAAGATACAAATTTTAAATCTCTTTTCTCTCTACTATGCAGTTCCTAGTAAATATGTAATATATTCAGTTAATATTATACTTATATTTCAGGTCTCTTTTTGGTTTAAATGAACCCTTCTAGGGTGGTTTGTTTTGAAATGATTGTTTCATAATAAAATGATTTAAAGAACTGCAGCTAACTGCTACGTCAACGTCGTGTACAAAACAGCTATTGGTCAACATGCCAACAAGGAATGGAAAAACAAACTGAACTAAATTAAACTCTGCTCACAGCAAACCAATAGAGGTTAATGTTGTGGACCTTTTTGGCAAATAACTTTAATGTATCCATATTTGACATGAATAATAATGAATGTTTTCAGCCTGTGTTTAGTTTACAAGGTCGCTATATATAATTCATTGCCCGGTAAAGGGTTACAATTGTTGGGAAGAACCAGCACAATGCTCGTGTTCATTCTGTTAACCTCCTTGGTAGTTTCACTTGCGGCTAAAGGTAAGCGGCAGAATTGATTCTATTTTATGTCATTTTGATGTACTTCACTCTTTTCTTTCATTCTTGTTTCTAACATTTTTCTTTGTCGTCAAGATTGTGATTTTGAGAGTGGCAAATGTGGCTGGATAAACGATTGCAATAGTTTCTTAAAATGGAATCGTCGCCAGGGATTTTCTCACACCGGAAAAGGTTAGTCAAAAGTCTAGACTGAATAACATTCCCTTCCTTCATCTGCGAATACAAAACTTCAAAACACATGAAAAAGAAAACGTTTTCTGCTAGATTATTTTTCTGATTAGAAACGGCATCTTTACCGCAGTCTTCACAAACTTGAGAAGAACGAGAATACTAATTCTACTATTGCCAGTCTCAAGCTCAGCAGAAAAACAATAACTGATAAGCAACCACCGTCTGCAAAACATATCTCGATTGATCATCGATCATCTTCAGTTACATGCATACACACTGAGTGTATTTATTTTGGATTCTCAATGATGTTTTAATATACATACTTTTTTAAACTAAACGTAAGTGAAATGTATTCAGTTTGTCGCTGGGCGCAGGACAAAGAAACCCTTGACAGGAATCGCATCTATGACCTTTCAACGGATAGAAGGTGCATCTTGAAAAAAATAACACTTTTATTCCAAGTTTGTGATCCTTCATATTTTAACTCCGTTCTAGCAACCCTTTGTTTCTTAGCACATAAGGCTTTTGGAGTTTTTTTTCTCTTGCTCTGGTTAATTCCTGTCCTTCCTGGCCTTTGCATCGGACATCATGAATGAAAAATTGTAGCTAGAAGACTTTGCTTTTTTTTAATTTAGAGAATGATATACGCGTTACAAGTTTTTGCTATGTCGACTCTAGGTAACACGAAGTACGGTTTACTATAGAGAAAGAAATTACGCATAAAATGTTTTTCTATTTTCATCCACAACAATATACTACCAAAAATCTCCTATTACTGACGTTTTTCGTGCGAAATCCTTCACTGGCTCACGGCCTTTTCCTGGACTTGCAGTTTCACCTCATTTCCCTTAAACTTAGTACCTAATAGGGACATTTGTCGAGAGAACGTAAAAAATCAATAATTCCTGCTAGCATTCCATGAAGATTATATAAGAAACATATTTAATACATAGATTTAGCCAATTTAAAATTCTTTTAATTTAGCCGAACTAACCTCCTTTGAGAGAAAAAATTCTCAGTTTGAATTATCAACTCAAAAACGAGGTTAGTTGGGCTAATTTTACTACTTACAAAAGAATTTTTAATTGGCAGCCATGAATAGGGTTTATAATTCTGATTTCTTGAAGAATCCCGGTAGTTCATCAATACCTAAAAAAATAATAAATTATGTTCTTTTTAACACTGGATCTAGGTTACTTTATGTCCATGGACGCAAGCAAAGGCATGCTCGATGATAACGCTGGCCTTTACACTAAATTCAAGGGTGATACATGTCTGACCTTTTGGTATAATATGCGAGGAAACGGAGCTGGTTCGATAGAGGTGAGGGTTGACATGGGTCGGCTAGTGTTGGAGCTCAAAGGACCTAAAGATACTGACTGGCACAAGGCTCAAGTCGAGGTCACTAAAGCAAAAAGGAAGGTGCGTTTAAGATCCCGTTCACACTACGCCGGAGAAATTTGAAAACAGAGTTTTCACTCTAAAAACGCATCAAATGTAACCGTCCGTCCACAATATCCCGGAAAAAAAAATTGAAAACGAAACAATTTTTGGATTTGTGTTTGAGAAAACCTTGGCCAGGGAAATCACATGATTTTCCTGATGTCATCGATTTCGAAAAGCTCCGTTTTTGTGATGCATTAATGTAGACTTTAGGCCTAACCGTAGAAATAAAGTTGCGTTTCCAAATTTCTCCGGCATAGTGTGGGCGAGGCGGCTTAAGTGTAACACCTACAAAGTTGGATTATTGTGTTAGTGTCCATCCTGAAGTCACATATTATTATTATTGCAATAAACCATGTTCAATATATTAGTTTTAGCTTTTTATATGATATCCGGATATTGCAAAGTGGTCGTTTACTGACTCCACGTTATCGTTGTCATGGTATTATCGATTTCCTTCAAGCTTCATAATGCCAAACTTCAATCAAAAGCATGAATTGGTGCAATTAACTTCTACATCGACGACTTTACGGAAAGATTGCGAAAAGGTGACAAATGGCTTTATCTATTGTGAGAAAATACTAGTACTAAACTGTAAGTTCTTTATGAGCTTCCGTTGTTAGAGCTTGACCTTCCGTTGTTAGGGACCGTTCATTTTTTATGAGGGAGGGGG